TGGGATTTTGGTTTTGTTAATGATATGTCAGGGTTTAGATTGGGTAGGGTTAGTTTGCTTGGTGGAGTTTGGGGTGTTAATGAATGAGGTGGCTTTTGCTAGATGTTTTTTAATATTTGAAAGACTTTTTTATTTAATGTTTTTAAGATGGTTTTTAATAGTTTTTTGATTTGGTTTTTTTTTTGTACTTGGTGCATGGTAGGGGATATGGTATATTTACTGAATATTATGTTTTTTAGTTTAGGTGTTGATAAGGTTGTTTTTGAAATGAGTTTTATGGTTTGATTTCATTTTTTAGGGGTATTATGTTTTTAAAGGGCTGGTTCTTTAAGGTTAAGGATGATGGTTTGAGTAGCAGTGTGAGGTATAGGGTATGTTTTTATTTATTTAGTGATTTTTATTATTGTGAGTATGTTGTGTTTATTTTGGTGTACTTCGGGTACAGTAATGTAGCTAATTTGTTAGGTTTCTTATATTTCTATTTGGATTATTGTTTCTTAGAGGGGGGGGTTCATTTGTTTGATTGTAGTATGTTTTAAACTTATGGATAATGTGAATAAATTTATTTTTTGGTTTTGTGTTTATTTGGAGATAGTATTTTTATTTTGATGATTCAAGGTATTATGAGATTATTGAGTTAAAACCAAATTGTTCCTGTATGGTTAATTGCAGTTTATTTTGGATCTTTTTTTTTTTTTTGTAGTTGCATGTACCTGTTTTTTTCTTTGGTGGTTTTTATTAGTTGTATTTTTGGGGATGTGTATATTTATATGATGGATTTTTAAAGGTAGTTTGTTTTTTGTAGTGATTTCTTATTTTTTAGGAGTTTAATTTTTTTGTTAATGAGGTCTATTTTTATAGAGCATTGATTATTACTTATGAATTAGAAGGCCGCAATTTGGTTAGGTTGCTTTTAGTAATGCATAGAGCTCATTGAACGGTTTGCTGTTTAGTAAGTTGTTGAGGTTTGTTTAGTAAGTTGTTGAGGTTTTTTTAAGCAGATTTGGTTGTGTTAGGTTTTATATAGCTTTTTGTGTTTTGTTTTACTTTTAGGATGTGGTATGAATTATTAGTAAAAAGAGTGTAGTGGGGTTTTTTTTGCTCCTCTTCTAATAAACTGGGTATAATTACTAACACACTTTTAAAACATGTTACTGGGATTGGGATGAAGGGTAGACCAAAGAAACAATAAACTAAAGCTATTTGGTACAAACTTCAGTACTTTTATAATTTTATAACGTTTTTACCCATCATTATTACTGACCTTAGCATAAGAGCTATTTTAATCTGCGCTCTTTTACTGTGAAAGTTATGTAGTAGGGACAGTATTGGAGTTATTTTTGGATAAGAAAACAAACTTAGGGACAAGAAAGGCATCAAAACCTCCAAAAAGCTCAGAGACTAGAACAACATAAAGGCCTCCACCCTGAGAGACATGAACTTAAGTAACACCATTACAAAGTCCTTTATCCCAGCACACAGTAAGGACCAATGCAACATAATCAGCATAGGTTTTCTTATTCTTCTGAACCCCACATTCGGCAGCAAATAATAAAATGCTTAGGAAGCTAAGACACAACTCAAAGCACTGCAGGATAACTTCACAGATGCAGACATCTTGTGTTGACCTAGGAAAAGCCTCTAGACACCAAAGTAAAACCTACGTCACAAATTTCAAATTACAGGGGCCTGGGACTTGGCCTTTTACACCTACAGCCAGGCTGGGCAGCAGGGCAGAGCAGCTCCGGGACAACTACACCCAGACACCCGTGACACACCACACAACGGACGAGGGGACACAATGGGGAGACAAAAGTCTGGGCCACAAGGACGGCCACAAGGACTGAGAGAATGCGGAATGAGATGAGCCGGGTGAGAATGAAGGCGAGCTGATGAAGCTCGCAGAACCCGGGAGGAAGAAGATGCTGACAGAATGACAAACTCCAGGAACCGCCAAGACGGAGGCCCAAGAATCTTATGGCCGCAATCCTCTACCTATCTTTGCGTTTCTTCAAGTCCTAAGCCGCAACAATGGATCCTCGCGGCGCACGGCTGTTGACACAGCTCGGAACAAGAGGTCTAAAAGACATCCAATCGGATGCTTGTCAAAAGAGACGCGATTCCAAGGCCTCTGAGAGCTGCCGAGCCGAGGAGCCCAGAGATTGGAGATGTTATAAGTGTTGCTGGGGTTTCTGGTAAGCCCCCAGAAGGGATAAGGGAAGGCACATACAACACAGGAGGCACAAAAGACACAGAAGGCACGATGGACGAGTGACACGACGCGCCCAGAGGCTGCTCTGTCCTGCACACCTCAGCACTGTGAACAAAAGTGAGGCTCTCCCACCGTGCGGCCTAAGGGGCCACAGCCTGAACCGCCCCGAGCCGGCACCCGGCTTTCATCCCCTCTGCGGGTCATAGCCTTTGACTCAGCTCTCGGATGCCCGCTGGGGAGGATCCACACGGAGCGCCAAGGAAGGCCGCCTGGCTATCCGGGAAGTTCCTGCCATCGCCAGGCTGTCGTCTCTCCGTCAGCTACCAAAAATAAAACAGAAAATCAGCAGCTGATCTGTGCAGGGTGTCGGCCAAAACCCGACAATTCCGCTACTCACGGTCTCCTGCGAACGGCCGTGTCCTGAGGCCGCACGATACGGCCACGCCGGGACCAGGCAGCGCC